AAGCGAAAAAGAAAGACAAAGTTTAGGCCAGAAGGCCAACATTTGACTAATAGAAATTCCAGGGGATGGGGACCAGCAGGAAAACAAAGGAAGAAATTTCAAAGAACTATCACACGAAATTTTATCAGAGCTTAAAGGAGAATCAGAAAAGTCTTCAAACTAAAAGAGTCCATTTCAGTTAGAAACTTACATAGAAGTGAGTCATAAAGTTTAAAATAAAGAAAATTGAAAGTGTTATATCAAGAAATAAACTGGACTCTAAACAAACTATTTGTTTTTGTAGACATTTATGCACTGACTTTAAGTGACAGGCACAAACATTTTCTTTCCAGAGCAATAATGAAAATAAAAAGAAACCAAATAACACAGCCCTAACATTAAAATCTCCTCCATTATGTTTAGTGATGGTTTTATATAAACATTTTCAGAAAAAAAATATTATACATAAGAGGTCCTCAATAAATAAATGAAAAAAATTCTAAGTCTTTTAAAGCAAAATGATATTTTCACTCTTCATAAAAAAGAATATAACTTTAAAAATTAAAACAGCATTTGCAATGGGGTGCTATTGGTAACAACAGTAAAATTTAAGTTATTTTTGAAAAACCTACTCACAAGAATTTTCTGAAAATGAGAGCTTTAATGAAAACATAATCATAAACACTGATTTTAGCTGTTGGACCTACCTTATTCAGAGGGGCTTTGATTTTTTTCAAACACAAAGCAAGAAGTTCCCTAGATTCTAAAGCACACTGTATCCAAGTTCCTGGTGGCTGGAAATATCTGAAAGAAAAGATACATGCTGAAATTCAACATCTCTCAGGAAAAATAGAAATTTCCATCTGAATATACAAATATAACACTGACAATTAATCAAGCATAATAATATCCAAGGTTGACCTGAATGAAGCACTTAACCCAAATGTATTTTAGTTGTTCCAGAAAACTTTCAATTTAACCAGCAGCTTTAGTTAAAAATGTAAAGGTCTGACCAAGAAAGCCAATTTGAAATAACCTATGAAAGTGGATGTATTACTTCCATCACCAGTAAAAATTCCAGTGAGGATGACAAAACACCCAAGAGTTTCTTGAAGCTATGCTCTAAAAAACAGGCAAGAAAGAATCATTTCAAAATGGCATTAAAATGATTTATTACGTACCTCTTAAATGCTTGAGAACTGCTTATTTCTTACAAAAAAGGTAAATTAGTACAACACTGTGTATCAGCAATAGTTCAGACTATACATCTGTATTTCTATTCTTTTCAAATTTCAAATTGTAAATTGTAAAACTCAAGTTTTAAAATCTTAGGTAAAACCTGACTAAATTAAAATTTAAATCCCTTATGCATGTGCTTTAAGTTTTTTAGCCCCGCCTACCTAGGACTTAGTCCAGTGCCTGGCACATGCTGTAGTAGATGCTCACTCGATAAATGTTTGTTAAATATATAATACTTTCAAATGCGTCATGTCAATGCCTTTTGTCATACTCGTTAAGTAACTGAAAGTTCTGATTTTCACTTTTCAAGGTTCAATCAAAAATGTTACACAGGCCCCCCCTTTGCTTATAAGCACACTTTTGGAGTTAGGAAGTGCTTCACACATCATCTAAGAAAACCCCTTCCTTCTTTCTGAGGAGGAAACTAAGACCCAGAGATGATAAATAGCTTAGAGTTTCAAAAAGCTAGTTTGTAAGAAATCCAAGACAAACTAGGTCTCCTGATTCTTTGTCCAGTACTTTTTCAACTCCACCATGGTTTTAAGAATAGCAAATATTTATAATAGATTAAGCCTCATACTTGTTAAGCTTGCAAACTGTAAATTCCCTCAAACAGTACACAAAGTTCTATGTGTTTGTATATATGTACATGCAAGTCTTTTTCTGGGGAGATAGTTTTCAAATTCTCAAAGGGGTCCATGAGCCACAATCCCACAACACAGTCAAAAAGTAAAGTACTAGAGTCTTAATCCATTTGGGAAATCACACTGGGCAGTTCTGTGTTAGTCAGTGTCCTAATACATATAACCTGTTTATGTCAACAACTAAAGAAAATAAACAGGAATGAAACACTAACTTTCAAAAAAAGCCGTCTGCCTTCAAATCCAATCTTAATTTCCTATCATTCCAGATACAATTTACTAAGCTTCCTTTCTATCAGCTATACTCATTTCGGTTACACACCAGCATTAATACAGTTTTTTTTTTATTTGTATAGATTTAAGGGGTACACATGCAGTTTTGTTACATGGATATATTGCATGAAGTCTGGCATTCAGTGTAGCCATCACCCGAATAGTTTACATTGTATCCATTAAGTAATTTCTCATCCATCAGCCCTCTCCCACCCTGGCAGAAATAGTTTTCAAAACAAAATACATAGTTTTTTAAATACATTGCTAAATTATTTGGAACATAAGGTGCTTTTTTTTTTTTTTTAGACAAACATCTTTATTTAAGAAATCAAATAAATAGGGTAAAAACTGATGGTAGCAACTTCACACAAGTATACAAGACCAAGCTTAGAATTACTTGCTCAAATTCGGAATGGAATAAAATTTATCAACTTATCACAATTAACTAAGAAAATATCTGATTATTTGTTTTTCAATGGACACTTGCTATTTTACTGGAAGATCACACATTTACCATAGTACTAAAAAGACTACTCCCAGCCCACTCTGGTGTACAGCCTAAAAGCATAAGAGTGTAAATGTTAATGTGCTCCATGCTTTTCTTTGATAGCAATTATAAAATTGCCTTACAACTTTTTACAAGTACAGATACCAACAGGTTCAATTAATGTTTAGTTTACTGTCTTAGGGAAAGGAAATACAACAGGGTGACAGAAACAACACAGTTCACTCACTGTGGCCTATAACTGGTCCCAGCCTCCCATTTTACAAACATGCATCCAGGACTCTAAATGGATGAATAAATCAATGTATGTGCTATCGATTTCATTCCTTACTGCAGAATCTTTTCAGTTTTAAATCTATCCAATCTTGACTATGACATTTGTTATATCAAGATCGAGCTGTCTGAATTAGGATAGTCAAAACCTTATCCTCAATTTTTAAAATAAAAATGTTTCAAGATTACTGATAAGCAACTCTTTATCAATAACACTGTTTACAAGCAAATATTAATCTGTTGATAAGTGACATGAAATGGAATGTACTATTTTTAAATATAAAGGAATTTCATTAGGTGTAGATAAATTGAGATTACAAGTAAAAGTTTTCCAGGCTATTTAATCAAGTTGCTTACAATGTACACATCCCTGAGTATACTCCATTGTTGTAACATTGTTTATTTCAGAATTTTTCTTCATTCAGCTTAAAAGGTGTTTCTTCCCAAGAAATTGAACTTTATTGTCAAATGCGCTCGATTGAATAGGAGAACTGGGTTCATAAAATGGATTCATTGCGAACTTTATATATAAATCATAGACATCAGTAAAGAAGTTCTTTATTCTGTCTTCTTGCCTTATGTCATGAAGCATAATAAATCTCATATGCCCTGCCGTGACAAATGCTGACACAAACCACTCATTGAACTTGTCCATAGTTTTTAAGTACATGTTGTTCGACAGCCACATGTTCTCATCTACCAGGTCGAGAGCAGCATGAGCTATGAACTGGTTCAGATGACGGTGGTCGTCTTTGGATTCTGCTTTCCCAGCTGGCAAAAACTCCATTTCAAAAACTGGATTATCATGGTGGCCAACAATTACAAAGTAGAAGCTTCCAGACATTGTCTTCAATATACGGCTCCTGCCGAAAGGTACCGACAATAGAAACGCCCAGTCCATTACCACGGCGGAGACCCGCGCTCCGCAGCTTCTACTGAGACTCACGGAGCAGTCCTCACCGAAACATAAGGTGCTTTTCATAATACACAGCTTCTAATAACTAGAGAAAAACTCACGATAATAGTAGTAAGTCCTTAATAATCTGTTCTCACCTTTACAAACATCAACTCCATCTATTAACTATATGCATCAAACTTTATCCTTTAACAGAAGAAAAACAGATTCAAATACCTTTACACTACCTTTACCAGATTAGCAGGGCAAACTAGAAAAGTACACTAGAAAATTGCAAATTCTAAAGTCTTTGGCAATACCAACATAAATAAAAAATCTCAACTGCGTACGCTTTGCTCTACACATCTTTGCATATCCTGTTGGCGCTCTAAATATGAATTCCAACTTTAAGTAGGGTAAAATAGTACCACACCGTACCTTTGACATTGTTTGCAGAAAGAAATCGAGACTTGTTTCGGAATACCTTGGCTGATGTCTACTTTACTTCGCAAACAGGCCACACAAATATTGGCAGGATTTGGACTAATTGGAACACCACACTCACAGCACAAGCTTGAATAAATAAAGGATACATGTTTCAAATTAGATTTTATAAATATACTAGTTAGATTTTTAAAAAATACCAAACAAAAGCCTTCAAGTTAGGCCACAATATTACTGCCCTTTAAAAAAAAATAACTTAGAAACAAAGCAATCTTCAAAGATTCAATAGATAAAGAATAGCCTGGGAATACTGGGGCAAAAGACCAAGGATGGCCACAATTCCCAAAATCCTCAAAATAAGGCTAATGTCCTAATGGTCCAGAGAGTCAGCACTGTCCAACATAACTTCATGCAATGAAAGAAATGTTCTGCTTCTGGTCTGTCCAATAAGGCAGCCATTAGCTACATGTGACAACTGGGCCACTGAAAGTGACTATAGTACAACTTAACAATTCCATTTTTAATTTTGTTTAATTTAAATTTACATTTTAATAGCCAGGAAAGATCTAAATAAAACTTTTCTATTAAAAACAAATGAAAATATTTGTTACATTAAAATGAATGGAGATGTATTGATGAGAATTTAAAACTTACACTAATTTCAATTTTGAATACTTAAATACAATAAAAAAAAGTTAAAGCTCTCTTTACCACACCCAACCAAGACCATCCACAGACATAACTATTATTAACCATTTGTATATATCCTTCCAGACATTTTCTGGGCAGACAAACATCCACATCAATATTTACCAATAAACAGATTTAAAATAAATTTCCCAACTGCAAATGTGATAGAAAACATGGGGAAAATGTGAGAAACAATGTTATTCATCATTCCTTTCTTAAAATTGGAAAACTTAAGAATACATTAACAGGGCAAATGTGTGTCAATGGCAAAAACTGGAAAGAAAATTCCATGTCAAGAGTATGTAAGATCATTTTGTCTCTTTTTAATTCAACAACCTGATCTCTAAATACTGAGTCTTTAAAATGCAGCTGTCTATTTAGTTGATGCCTCATTTGTACTGACCAGTATCTCCAGTGCTGCACTGAGAACTTAGTTCATTTACTCAGGGCCTACCTACAGAGGACCATAGCTTAGGCAAAGAGTATGGTAACAAAGCTAAAAAGACTATAGCTGCCTATGCGTCTCTTTCTGATAAAAATTTCTTAAAGTATTTCTGGAAAATGTATAAACCTCTGGACTACACCAGTAGAAACTGATTTCTAAACCATTTCTAATAGTAATTAGATAGCAGTATATTCCCCAAAGGTAATTAAAAAAAAAAACAAGCACAGGGACTGCCAAAATATAAACATTTACCCAGAGTAGAATTTTTTTTAACACGATAGGTAGTGTGTCAACATCTAGTGATTCAGTATAAATTACTGGAATATCATAATTCTAAGTGCATTGTGGAACGCACTGGAAGTGCATTGAAGAAACGTTTGAGAACCACCGACACAGAACAATGTTGTCCAAAAGAAAAGTTCGATAACTTTCTATGTCCAATGGTAGCCACTAGCCACTAGTGTCTACTTAGTACTTGAAATGTGGCTAGTAAAACAGAGCAACCAAGTATTTAAATTTATCTCATTTAAACTAATTTAGGAAACTTCCCAGCTCTAACTGCTTGGGGTTACACCACCAGGATGGTGCTGCTGGAGAGTGAGCAGTTCCTGACAGAGCTCGCCAGGCTCTTCCAGAAGTGCCAGTGATCAGACAGCAGGCAGAGTGTGTTCATCATTTCAAAGAAGTATGACAGTTAAACTAAACCCATTCCAAGGAAACGTTCTGTGGAGGGCTTTGATCCCTCAGACAAGAAGTGTCTGTTAAGAGCTACTGATGGAAAAAAGAAGCTCAGCACCGTGATGAGCTCCAAAAAACTAACTTTCAGATGGCTTATTCAAACCTACTGAAAGCTAACATGGATGGGCTGAAGGGACAAAACAAACATGAATAAGAAGACCAAACAGCACAGTTAAGGGCACCGAATGTCCTGCTTTCACCAAGCAATCGTTGAACTGCTGCTATTTCCTTTGGTTTTTTTCTTTTGGTGGCATAGCTAGGTTTCTGGTTCCCCCATAGTAACTGTTCTCATGTGACATTAAGGACATTTGAGAGAGAAGGGCTGCAATGTGTACAGATTGGTTGTGGTAAGAGGCCTGTTTATTTTAGATTTGTCTATTTGGTCTGTGCTGCATGATTGTATATTTCAGGATTATAGTTTCAAAGTCTCTGTAGTCATTGTCTATTTGATCAGCAAAAAAAGGTAATTTAAATTTTAAGACAAAAATTTTAAAAAATAATTTAAAAATTTAAATAAATTGTTAAAAATGTTTAAAATTACATTATAATAACTAATAAAAAATAAATTTAGCCACATGTGGCTAATGGTTACACATTTGTGCCAATCTAAAGGGATGCACAGTTAATATTTGAATCTTCTTAAAGCATGTATTTACAAGGAAAAAACTTTATAAGTAAAAATGAATTCTATTTTCTACAAAAATAACTTTCATTTTTCCCCATTTATGACAAAAGAACAACCCCCAACAGCTTCCCCCACAATTAGAAAGTTTCACACACTCATTTAAGATCTTCAAATGTAAGTGAGACAGTGAAGAAAGGCAGCAACTCACATATGTCCAGGTTTGCGGTCGGTGGGTTCTGTCATATACTCCATCGTTCTGTATTCCTGAAGTTTAAAAATAACTGAGAATTGTGAGATTTAAATCATTCCTTCCGCTTCACATAAAGCAAGAAGGAAAACCAACTCTACTCGAAAACTTCGGGAAAAGTAACTGCTTTAGGATCAGGACCAAGGGATTTTTAGAGTTTCCCATCTGCAAGACCCTCGAGCCACCAAGCTCTGCAGCTGACCTCAGATCTCGCCTGGGTGCCAACCAGGGCGGACTCGGGGCGAGGGCGACAAGGGAAACGCGGGCCCCGGACGCACGGGCTTCCCCTCTCTACCTGCCACTGGGCCCCTGCCTGCCTCGGTCGGCTGTTCCTCGAAACCGCGCTACAGGAATCCCCGCACTGCATCACTGCGCCCACCCACCCCGACCGCGACCCTGACCCTACCCAGTCCCCGAACCCCGCGGGCCCGATCTCACGCAGGTTCCGGGCCGACGGCTCACACGCAGCGCGCACGCGGACCGAGGCCGGCCCAAGCTGGGAGCCCACCCCACTCCGTCCTTAGGGACACCGCGCACGGAGAAGCCGGGTCTCGGCTCCCGGAAGCTACTTAGCGCCTCCGGGCCGGACCGGATTTGCACAAAGCCCGCAACAACACGTACCTCCGCACCCTTCCTAGCAGCCACCGATGGCGGCCAGCTCAGGGAAGATCTCGCGAGAGAAGGGCTAGAAATCCCGCGACCGGAGGACGCGAGTTAAGGGGACGGGTCGGGACGGAGAAAGGGGCGGGCACAGACCAACGGGAGCCCGGCAGGCGTTCGCCTGCCTGGGCTGCTTTTGAGTTATCTGCCTGGTTTTTCCCTGGCCAGAGAGTTCACTTCGAGTCAACCTCTTCCCCCACCTCTTTTTTTTTTGAGACAGAGTCTCACTCTGTTGCCCCAAGTAGAGTGCAGTGGCGTCATCATAGCTCACTGTAACTTCAAACTCCTGGGCTCAAGCGATCCTCCTGCCTCAGCCTCCCAGGTAGCTGGGGCTGCAGACAGACGCACTCCACGGCTCCGGCTAAAATTAGTAGCAAGGGGGTCTCGCTCTTGCTCAGGCTGGTCTCCAACTGCTAAGCTCAAGTAGTTCTCCCGCCTTTGTCTCCCAGAGTGCTAGGATTACAGGCGTGAGACACCACACTCCCTGCCTTCTTGTCCTTGTATAAAGCTCTCAGTTCAGAGCTTGCTTCTTGATTAAACATTTATTTTATATAAAAATTGTCTGTAAACAGTACAGCATCACACAAAGAAATTAAACTGCATCGAGGGCAATGCTTTTGCCTATTTTTTTCACCGTTATGTGTCTGATGCCTGCCACATCCTAACTGCTCTAATAATGATTAGTTGAAGAAAAGAAAAAAGAACAACAATAATCAGCGAAGAAGTCTATGTCATTTTTAGACTAATGAGAATGTGCTTCCTGATAGTGCATTTAATATTTCCTTATGACATTATCCCTTGATCTTACGGCAACACAGACCATGTCTAATTGCTCTTTCTCATGACAGTATTTCAAATATTTGAAGAGCACAACCATTTTTTTCTAAATCGTCTCTCCCTGCCCCACCGAAATTTCAAGGAATAAGCAAGAGCATTTTATAGACAGTGATCAGAAAAGGTCTCTCATCGTTTCTTATCCAGGATATTTAAGTAGTCTCCCATCCATTCTCCCTACTTGCAGACTCCAATCCATCCTTCTAAAATGCAATTCTGATTTTGTCACACTCCCTGATTTTAATCCTTCAATGGTCTCTGATCACCTTCAGGATTATTTCCAATTTCTTTCAATGGAAAAAAGATCCTTCAGGAACTGATCTCCACATACCCTGTCACACTGTCAAACCCACAGCCATGCAGATCAAGGGCAGGTCCTCGCAGAAAATAATCTACCTTTGCTTATGCTTAGAACACTCTGCCTTAAAGATGAAGGCTGTATTAGCTTCCTATTGTTGCTCTAACAAATTACCACAAATTTAGTTGGCTTAAAAAACACAAATTTAGCTGGGCATGGGGGCTCACACTTGTAATTTCAGCACTTTGGGAAGCTGAGATGGGAGGATCACTTGGGGCCAGGAATTCAAGACTAGCCTGGGCAACACAGTGAGACCCATCTCTAAAAATACAGTAAAAGAAGAAGAAGAAGAAGAAAAACCACAAATTTATTATCTTACAGTTCTGGGGGTCACAAGTCTAAAATGGATTGGCAGGGCTGATTCCTTCTGGAGGTTCTAGGAGAGAATCCATTCCCTTGCTTTTTCCAGCTTCTAGAGGCTGCCTACATTCCTTGGGCTGTGGCCCCACATCTTCTTCCATCAAATCTCCTTCTCTGACTCTCCTGCCTCCCTCTTAGAATGACACTTGTCATTTCATTGGGCCCAAGTAGATAATCCAGAATAATCACCCCATGTCAAAAATCCTTAATTTACTCACATCTGCAAAGTCCCTTTTACAAAGTAAGGTAATAAATTCACGGATTTCAGAGAATAGAATGTGGACAACAGTGGGGAGCCATTATTCTTCCCACCGCACATCCCCTCCTCTTCTGACACCTTCCTTCCCTAAGAACTAGAGGATTTAGATGCTCCTCATGTATGTGTAGTCCTTTTATGACACCTTTATAGAAGGTGTAGGCCTCTAAAATGGGCATTGAATTGGATTATGAAATATCTACTCTGTATGCCCTGCAGTTTCAAACCCCTAGAAAACAGTTTGAGTCTTATTCTTCTTGGTATCTCCTGCACCTAGCACAGTGCCTGGCATAAAACAGACCCCAATATATGTTGGTAAATTATGCACTTATTACCCACAACAGCTATGAAGCAACACTGTTTTTCCTCCCCATTTTTTCCAGTCACACTGTCTATGCCCTCAACCAAATACCACTAGAAACACAGCTGTAGTTAAACAAGTTGTGTTTATTACTTATTGAAGTGAGCACAAACACACACCATGGGGAATCATGGGATGTCTCAGTAACAGGTGTTAAAACAAGCCTATCATAGGATCTGGGCTTTGGATGGGTGATTTGGGAGGGCCTAAGGAAGTAGGGGTTTGCTCTAGAATGGATTCTCTCAGAAAGCAGGGACAGTTCTATGATTAGATATCTCAATAAATCATATTTATTTGAAGGGAGGCAGGAGGATAAAGCTGAAATTGACAAAGAAGTAGCAGTCACTCATTTTGTTGAAGGGAGGGAATGTGTGGTATTTTTTAGGTAGCAAAGTGAACTTACTTTTGTCTGTGCTTAGATAAAATTATGAAGTGGCCTTGCTTTGTCTCATTTTATTATAGCTTCAGAGTAACCTTGTCTGAGGTTGGTATTGTGTGAAATTGTTTAATTGTTTATGTCTAATAGAATAATATGTCCTAGCTATGGTGTCAGACCAGCTTCTAAATGTCAAAGGCTGTTCTTTTTTCTTTCTTAATACATTCCTCCAACAATTATTCAATTTGGCTCTGAATGCTGCAATGCCAGGCTTATTAAGCACTGCATATACAACAGCAAACAACACAGGCATGGTTGCTGCCCTCGTGGAGCTTACCTTTACAGATGAGGCTAGTATTTCATGAGATTAAGTAATTTTTTCGAAGTCCTATAGCAAATGAGTGGCAGAACTGGGACATGAGCTACAGTTTGTCTGACTCTGTACCATGCCCTCACCATAGCAGCCTGCTTGCCCTTCTGAGGTTCAAGCTGTCTTTTCTTATCCACAGGCTTTTGATAAATGAAAGACTTATGCTGCAGAGGAACCTCTGTTTTTCCCTCCATCTTCCAGCCCCCACTGCTATGATCTCTAGATGTCAGAATTAAGCACGTGATTTCAACTATCTCTGCCACAAGCCTAGGATGAGCTTGCTAGATTAGTCTCAGAGTGGAACAATATTGGCAAATTATACCAGAGAGAAACTCATTTTGCACTTTTTATGTAATCCTCAAATCTCACTTGAAAAAAATGAGTTCTCCTATCCCGTAGGCCTTACATTCAGGTTATCTATCCTTACTCAAATCTAAGGTTTACCGTATTTTTACAAACTTAGATTCTATATGTTTTACCTTGATATTAAAATGAAATTCCAAAAGGATGAGATGACTATGGCCTCCTAGCAATCTACAGGTTCATTTCCCAAATTCATCATCCATGAATTCATCAAAAAATGTTTTAGATCAGAATCCATAAAATCTCTT